TCTCTCTCTCTCTCTCTCTCTCTCTATGCCGAATGTATCTACATACACAAAAAAAAAACCTCAAAATACAAAACCCACCATTTTTTTCCAATTCTACCTAAAACCCTGATGCAGATTTAACGAAAAAAAACAACCTTTATCAAGATTTCTGTCTAATTTATCCCAGAAAAAAATATCTGGCGCATCAGCGGATACCGAACAAGAAAAGGGGGAACAGAAATATGAAGGGGGCCGGTGAACAAGGGAAGGATTTAGATAAGAATTTGGATTTGGCGTATCAAAAGCTGTAATATGGTGAGGCAGCGGTGATGTGTGGCGGTGGGCAGAGTAGCCATTAATACTCTCTACTAAAAATTAGTGGCTGAGGATTGTTTTCTTGATATTTTTATCAAATCCCACCAAACTGTAACCAGTTAGCTATGGTGCTGTTTTGTAGGCGTCGACGTGTTTCAATGTGAGCTGTAGGATTCTCAAGTGGGGATACTCTGCTCAATATGGACCGTTGGATTTTTCGGTGGGTGTGTGTGGACACAGTTAGTACTCTGTCTCTTAGAGCACCCACAATGCTTTGGGTCTCTTAGAAAAAAGTTACATGCCATGTAAGAAATAGACCTAGTCTATAAAAAAGTGTTCTCCAATGCAATTAAATGTAGACCTAGTCTAGCTTATGTGGCAATAAAAAAATGAGACCTAGTCCACACTTGGGTCTATTTTAGACCCAAGTACAAACCCAAGCACTCATCATTTATTCCTCATTTAGTTTTTCTTTTAATAAATGAAATATATTAGAGCATTTTTATTAGTTGTCATGTATTCTAGACCTAGTACTTTTTTGTTTTGCATTGGATAGATTTTGGGTTTTTTAGTTTGGGTTTGTCCATGTCATTATGGACTTAAGTCTATTTATTTGCCACATATGCAAAAAGAGACCCAAAACATTGTGGATGCTCTTAGAGCATCTCCAATGTGTAATGTTGTAAGTGAATTAATTTTGCCACATGTCAATTAACTAAAGGTGTTGTGAATCCACATCAAATCAAATGGATGTTGAGTCTATTAAAAATTCAAGGTGTTTCTCAATGCAAGATGTGAACAACTCCAAAATAGTATGGGCCTTTGAATTTTTTTTTTTCATTTTGGGCTTACACTTTCAACAAGCCCAAATATTGTGCCCCACCTTTTGCACAATTCTTTAGGGTTTTTTTTTTAATTAAAATTCCTTTGTTTTTAAATTGCATCCATGCGACACACACTTTGTCCAGAACAAAAGAAAGAAAAATATAGTTTTTTCAAGTAAAAACATTGGCAGGTCATCCATAAACTTAATTCCCTACACAGGTAAAATACGCCACTTAAAAGTACTTAAAACTCATTTTTTTTTTTTTTTTTTTTT